TGCAGATAGAACATTGTGTAATCCGCACTCTGCAGATAGAACATTGTGTAATCCGCACGCTGCAGATAGAACATTGTTGTTAGGACGCGTCAATATTCATTCGTGCTGTGGAAAATAAGAAATCCTGACTCGCCACCATTAACAATTGTGCCCGGCTATGTACGAAGAATTTATAACAAGAGGGCCAAGCGTTGAGAAAACGCTCACATGATTGCTATTTCAGGTTAACAAAGTACCTAACGTATAGGAATTGGGAATCACGATAAAAATATGAAAGTATCACTACTTCCCTGATGCTGACAATTCCATTTTTGTAAATTCCAGAAACTAAGCAAGAAGCTGTGAGAGGAAATACCAGCTTGACCAAATCAGAGGACTTGGGCCCTATGACCAGGAGGTGCCATGTGAAGATGAGTTCTACCTAAGGGAAATCAACTCAGAGGATGAAGACGAAGACAGGGAGCAAGTTGTTCCTAGATTTTAATAATCTTTAATTTTTTACAAATAAAACATTTTTGAATAGTTGTGAATTGAACCACCACTACTGGTGTATTGGTACTCAAAGGTATCACAGTTCAAAAGAGCTTACTATCACAGTTCAGCAATAAGTGCATTTGTGAAAGAAGTTCTCATACAATTAGATAGTAGAAACACAGAATGTGATAGTCATTTTACAAATTGTTACAAATTACATTTAAATCTATTGGGTGAGACACAAACACAAACATAGTGCCCCACATTGAGTCAGAAGAAGAAGACAGTGACCAAGTTCCACCTAGATTTTAATATGCTTTAATTTCATACAAATGAAATGATTTTGAATAATTGTGAATTGAATCACCGGTGGCTTGCTACAGTCAAAGGTATCACAGTTCAACAAAGCTTAGTCTCTAAAAGTATCACAGTTCGACAATTATTGCATTACTGAGAGAAGTCCATACACTTACATAGTGAGAACACAGGATGTTAGTCAGCTTGCAAATTTTAGAAAGTAGAAATTACAAATTACGTTCAAATCTATTGCGAGGAACACAAACACATTGCCCCAACTTAATAACTTTTGACAGACAAGTCTTCTGATTCATGTACTGGAATGATATGAGTGACACTCAAGTTTGTTTCTGTGTGCTTCAACTCTGATTCGTCAATATTATATCCATAAATGAAAGCAAGAATCTCTCCTTCATTGTCACAGAAATATTTGAAAACACCAAATACTTTCTTATCATCATCAGTCTTAAAGAGCACATTTTTGTTGTCACTTGCATGTTCAGCATTGTAGCACATTGAAGTATAGACAGTTTTCCCCAGTTGTACTCTTGAAAATAGGGGGATATATTGCTGAGCATTGGTGCGTGGTGACGCAGAAGGACAAGTTCTTCTTCAGTCAAATCATGATAAAACTGTTTACCCTTTACAACAGTAGTACATAGTAATTTGTCCTTTTCTACATCGATCTGATTTTTCAAGGTGGCATTGGCAACATGCCAAATTCTTCAGAGATGTGGACAGTGCCATGCAAATTTCTTGTGATTACCCCGTTAAAAGATTCAAACAAGAAACAGGAATTAGACCACAGACGTCCCCATCTTTTCACAATGAGTGCCATATGCTGCAATCCATGGACATTGTGTGACATAATGTCCTTCCCGTATAATTTCTCTGCATTTTCCACAAAAAGAGAAAGTACCAATGATGCCATTGTAATCTGATCTTCAGTGATGACCTCTTGCAGAAGCATATTAATGGCAATAACTAATAGTAGCCAGTGTTGGAAGTAATCTTGTGGTCGGTGTCGATGCAATGCTGGCAATGACTCATACAGAAGCCACACAAGCCAGGTTGAAGCCTTCCAGTTCTTATATTTCTCCACATTCTTCGAAAATCTTGTAAGGTCGTATATTCCTTTGATAGAAGTGAAGAAACTGTTAATTAGCTTCGACTTGTTACTAATTTACCATGGGTTATTTTCAGGTTGGATCTGGTTATTTCCTTTCTTTTGCTTCTCACCAAAGAATTGGGATGTTACACCAGTGCATGTAACCCATGATAACAGATTTGGATCTGTCACATTTTGGTATGCTGGTCAGTATTGAACCACCTTTAACACCCTGGCTGATATTACCTGTCGACAACAAACTTTCTTCTTGTTCTTTCATTGAATCTATAGTCCTTAGGACTAAATCCTCTTCAAAGGGAAATGCAATTTTGTGGCATTTGCTACTTTGAATGCGTTCTCCTTCTATCTTGCATATGTTGCAACTGAAAAAGCCAGAATTTAGAACAATGTTCTGAACCATTGCCCGAGCAGGGGTATCCAAAGTGAAAACAGGCGAAGTTCCTCTAGTTGTATGGCCCTGTTTCGTTCTAGGATGAGTCCATGCTACTCCTTCTGTATACAATTTATTCAGACTGTCTGCAAATGGTCTGAGAAACCCATTCATGGGAGGCTTTTTCTTCCCACACCATATTTGAGAACTAGGGTAAAAACCTTCCGAAGAGGAGGTGGCACTTCACAGATTGTATAGGTAAGCGCCCAAATTTCTTCTTCTGAATTCTTGTGTGGCCTGAGCTCATCAGTACTTGACAACAAAACTACATCATATTTACCACGCAAATGAGACTTCACCTTTTTATACTCTTCCCCTTTGGTTAAATCAGATATGTCACCCACATTGGTAGCATAGGAGTCTATCGCATCAGCCAAATTCCTT